GCTGTGGAGATCTTCTCCATCTTGGTCTCCAGTGCTGGTTTACTTGGCTCCATCTTTGGCTCCAAGTGTTACATTATATTATTCAGACCCAATCTAAACAATAAGGAGCAACTAATAAAGCGGAAATGCTGATGAAATGTCCTATCTTTGTTTTTCAAATGATCACTAGCTTTATTCAGAACATGAATTAATCTGTGTGTGTGTGTGTGTGTGAACACTTTGGCCCGTCTGTCTAATTTTTAATTTAAGGGGGAGGGCATGTGGCAGGATTATTGACCTTACAACTTGTATGAAGTGTGTACATCCTACGATCTACATATGTAAGATAATTTCATGGAATTTTAGTATGTAGTTTTGAAAGTTACTTTGGTCTGTCCTCTATTTTCTTCAGGATGAGTAAGAATTGAATGACTGATTAGGAGACTGAGATGTGTTGCTGCAGTTATGCTCCTGTGGAGACCACTCTGTTTTCCTTATGTCTGGCCATTCTTATTCACCTACTTGGCTCTGATTTCTCCTATGGTGCTTCATTGCCTCCAAATCTCTGCCAAGAGTTGTGGGAACTATGATTCTTTGTTCTTTGTGTACGTGCTAGGACAACGGAGCCTTCTGGTGGTTGGCTGGAACACGAAGCAAGGAGCAAGGACAAATTGTTGCCATTTCTAACCAGAACTGTAGCAAACTTAAACTTTGCAGCTTTGTGCGCTTTATGCGAATGATCAGTGCATGTTGTGTGATGTAATGTGTTTGTGATAGGACGGTAACAAAAATTGCTACGTTAAAAGATTGCTTCTAATAAAAGAGGGTGTCGGAGTTCGCTCTGGGCTCTCATCCCGAGACAACCTTGCGTTGTGTCTTCTTTCCATGAGAGACCACCACAAAGAGTGTATTCCATTCTCAATGTCTACTGACTATTGCAGGAACTGAAGACCTAGAACTGGTTTTTGCAATCCAGCAGAATGGAAATGTTCATCATAAATATCCACCATTCTTCAACCAGTGTTGTATGGGGCTGAGAAGAGCGAGCTTCCACTGCACATCAGAGCAAATGCAGGGCAAATAAAGTGCATATGGTCTGAATTTATAAAATATTGAGGGAGCATTATGAAATATTGTTCATCAGCTATAATGGACAGTATAGGTTTTTAGGTGATGCAGGGCACCAACCTCACTGCTGTATAGAATTTTACATTCTGACTCTATGTGCCTATGGCACTTGACAGTGCCTCGCGTTTGCCTACAATCTGCTAGTATAGGTGGGACAGCTGAGAATGCAGTCTCCTCCATCCTCAGTTGGCTGAGTTAGTGATATAAAAGAAGCCTAATATTGAAGAAAGCAAAGCAGCACAAACTGAAAGAATCAACACATTTTCCTTTGATGCTTCTTTCTCATTAACACCTGTCTTTCCAGTCTTTTGATTTTAAAATGCGTAAGAGGAGAGGATGCTTTTTAGATGAGACATTGAATCTTTCTCTGTTCATGATACTAAGCCAAAGGAGTCAAAAGCAAGGCAATTCTCAGCAAGAGAAACAGTGCCAAAGAGTGGTTAATGCCCAATACTGCAGATTTTCCTGGGAAATGGCCTAATACTTATAGCATCAATATGCTAAAAGGCCTTTCAGCATCTTATAGCCTGGGCATTTGCTGTCAAGCTGATTTTTTTAGAAGATCTGGTCAAATATCATTTTAGGATTCCATATTTAGAAAGTTATTCTAAACCATTTTACAATTTCCTACCAGAGATTTGTGGCTGACTGTGCAGTGGCAAATATATACTGTGCTTATGTTAATGAATAGTGTCTTAAAAATGAAAAAAAAAGAAAGTTCATGTCTAAAATTCTCATGGAAAAATGAGCTTTCAGCATGTTTGAATAAAATATATTTTTTAAAAAATGAAAGGCACCAGAATTATCTCACAGGAGCTCAAGTCTCACATTTTACTGTTACACAATTTTGAAAGAATATAAGAAATAGATGACACAAATATAAGAAACAGGTATAGGTAGAGAAATACATTTGATAAGCAGCAAATATGAATTGTCATATATTTTACTGCATCACTAAAAGCTTATATATTTCACATCCATTAAATTAAATTGTGTCCCTGTTTAAAACTAAAACCTCAAGCCATTCAAAAATTCAAGCCATTCAAAAAAAAAATATTGATAGCAATAGTTTAAATTATACATTAAAGATATGAACTCTAAAATTTTTCAGTGTGGTACAATACCATGAATAAGAGAATAACTCCAGAATGTTTTCCAATTTGAATACTATGTTGGATTTGTGAAATTATTCTAGACACCAGCTATATTCCCATGATTTAGCATATGAATATGAAAGGTCATTCTTCAAAAAATAGAATCCAAAATATTTTTCAATAATATATTGAATCCTTGCTGCTGTTAATGTTAACAGAGATAGTTCAGTGTATTTTGAAGGACCACATGGTTTATGAAATTAGTAAGGATTTTTCAGATTGGAATGGAACTGTAAATTTCAGCATGTATCTCATTCTGTAATGAATATACAGCATATCACGGTGATATCTGTAAGGGTTACATTTTCATTTACAATTATTAGAAAACTCAGCTTTCATCCTCTTGTTAAGGCAATATGGTTTTGAATTGTCCATATATATTCCAAAGGTTTTTAACAGATTAGTTGGTTTATTACTTCCTCCCTGAGCTTTTCAACAAATAAGCTTTTTGCCAAGCCCTTATGACTCAAGTCCTTCCTGACTCCATTATTATTTTTGAATAATTCCTTATTTTCCCTGGTTGTTTTTTATACTTATTCAGCAATTGTGTGTTCCATCTCCTACTAACTAGAACAAATTTGCAGGCCTGAAAAAAGGATCATTTGAATGGGTGCAAACAGAACACATGACTAAAATCAAACATAGCCATAATTGGAGAAGTGTTTTTAGCAAATCTTAATTCTTCTATTTTATCTGGCTTGCACTCAAAACGTAACTACAGCAAATAACATATTATGTTTTTGTTGTGCCTACTAAGAATTGTAATTTGGAAATTTACAATTATGCCCACTCACTCTTAAAAATGGGTCTTAAAAGAGGGGACTACTGGCTATTAAATTCCCCTTAGGGGCATTAGGGGCGTCATGTTTTGGAGGAGAAAAATTCAGGCCAAGAGAATGTCTCCCAGTGAGTCCAGCACAAAACCCTTACAATGTAGTTAGAATCCATCCTACAGTCATCTTCCTTTTGGATAGCTATATCCAAGGAACCCCCATGAGCAATTCCTACTTTCCTTCTAAAGGAGAAGGCAGAGAATGTCATCCAATTACAATTTTGACTGAAGCAACCACTTGTTGTAGACTTTGCATCATCATAGCGTCGACATGTGACGTATCACAACTTTCTCCCCCTTCGCTAAACCAGGTGTAGGCTTGGCCAGCACATGATGCATCCAGCCCATGGGTTGCAAGTTTAACAGCCCTGTTGTGAACTAATAAAAATATTTCCCTCTTCCTTTACATTACAAGGAAATAAATTAATATTGTTCACATCTCCTGATACATAATTTTCAGAATACTTGTGTGCCTCTTTTTTTCTTGTTTGTATACAAAAAAAGAAAAAATAACCACAGAAGTTGCTATAAGAAGTCAGACAAGGGAAGATTACATTTAAAAAAGGCTAACCAAGAACATCAGCCAGCCTTGTATAGTGTTTAAAAATCCCTGGGAGGTATGAGCATGAAGTGATAGTATTTTGCCAAATTTGCAAACAAGCATTTTCCTCAGTAACTATGATCATGATTTGATTTAGATTTGGAAGTCAAAATGGGAAAGGGAGTGAGGAAGAGAAATTATAAACAATTAATGCAGAAAGAAACAAATTTCAGGTTTAAAATAATGAATCTCTAGTGTTGAAGGGGAGAATGTTACTCAGTTTCAGCCTAGGAAGTGGGCATACCTGTCAAGGAGAAAACAAACCACCCATATGGTCCCCAAAACTTCTGTGATTGAAAGGAAAATCATTATTTTATATAGTTTCAAATAACCCAGGCTCAAGTCATAAACAAACTTAACTTCTGTAAACATTTAATAATATAGGATCAGTCCTAAAACACAAATTCAGAAGCATACAATATCAAAAAGCTGAGTCCGAGTTGCCTAAGAGCATTGGGAATCCTGAATTTTTTGTTTAATGATATTAAATTTCAGTCAGGTTTCCTTTGGAATATTAATAGCTTTGAACCTTATGCTTACAATTAATTTACTTGTTCACAAATCAATTATTATGAATACTCTTCTGCCATGTCATTCCAAGGAAATCAAGCACTCTGAAATAGCTGAAATTCTATTTCCTGGAGAATTAGAATAAGCATTACATTACTCTCAAGATGTGGAAAAAAGCAAACATTAATGAAATGAAAATCCATTTTATTAGAAATACAAGACACACATTATTTGAAAATAGTGAACAATAATTAGCATTGTAAATAAGAAGAGGTGCAGGGAGCCACGCTCTGGGACTTGCTTTATACACTGATGTTTTTTCTTGTGATTTCCAATTCTTAAGATGTTTTTCTCTCAGAAATTTAAGTAGTGATGTAGCAACACCAAATCTGATGTAGAGAATTATTGAAATAAATAAATAAATATCCACTGTTCTCTCATACATACCATGGGATTCAGATTGCAAATTTGCAGTGTACCTGTGTATTCCTGTGATATGGTGATTAGATATTATTTGGCAAGTAAATAGCTGAGTTACTATGTACAGCAGCTTTTAAAAAATGTTTGCAAATGTTTTATCTACTTATAAATTTCACAGGGTGATTATGGTCTTTGTGTATATGTAAACAGATCTGTGAATGGAAATGTTATTTTTGTTTGTTTCTAAAAATTGGAGAGAGAAGGCTTTGTGACAGCTAGTCAATAAATATCCTATTCTAACCAATTTTTGCTGATAAACAATTTATCTAATAGAGAAGGCAGAACATGTGTACAGACAACAATAAGAATACCACAACAATATTCATAAATGTTATAATCTGGAGATGTACTATTTTCAGATGTGCCTGCCTTCTTAAATTCAGGGTGGGGACAGAAGAAACAAAATGGACACCTCCATTAATACTATCCTGTATTGACAAATATTATCAATGCAGACCAAAAGCAGACCCACCTGACTGTTTTCTCTCATATAGATCAGAGTTTTATTGTGTGAAAGAGTAATCAGAGAGTAGCTTATTGCACAAAATCCCTGTTGCTTATTATTTCATGATTGCTAAAAGAAAAAAGTCTAACCATCAGATTGATTGAGACAGTGTAAACTGGAGAATACATGGCAATACTGCAGTACAGATATCTTAATGGGAAGCAGTGAAAGAGGACATTGAGGCAGGGAGAAAAGAGAAGAGGAAAAAAATAGATGAGTATCAGAAAATAAAATGATTAACATTAGCATCCAAGTACCTGAAGTAGACTGTAGTCATACAAAAGCTCAACTAGTCTTAAGATTCACAAGTAAGATTATTATGAATATATCAATTATGTCTTTAGAGCCCTTGGCCATTGAAGCAGGATCATCACCAAGATAGGACTATAGGGTAAAGTGTCCTGGAAGACTTTCAAGCACAGAGTAGCTAATCTTTTATATGCTGCAGAAATTGAAATAATACATATTATATAATGGCCTCTACATCTGTAAAGCTCACAAACCAAAATGATTTCATTGCAGGATTGCCAGAGCTCTGAGATGAATAAAGCCAAAAAGGTAGATGGATGTAGAAAGATTGAGAAATGGAATGGAATCAACAGAGAGAAGAGAGACAGAGGACAAAGAGAAGGAGGGTAGAAAGAGGAAAACATAGTCTCTATGAAGGCACAAACAAAAACAGGTAAGCATGAAGAATCAGTGCAAAGGAAAAGAAATGTACTAAAAAGAAAGAACGAGCAAGTGTCCATGAACAGAGAAGGAAGTGAATAAGCAAAAGACAGAAATTTTAAAGCAAAGATCAGGAATTGGAAGTAAGCAAAATGGGTAAATTCGAAAGTCCACAAGAATTTGGCCATTCAACAAGGCCGTTCAACTCTTATTTCATTAGTATGTAAAGATGGGGAGAAAGAGGAAATATGAAAGATAAGAAAGGAGAAAGGAAGAGAAAGGAAAAAAGAGGAGAAAGAGAAAGGAAGGAAAGGAAAAGAAAGGAAACTGAGCAAAAGCAAAGAGAATGTATTGGGTTAGAGAAGGAGAAATGGCTTTGAACATTCAAGAGAAGCAGAAAGCAAAAAAATGAAAACAGAAGAGTGAATAGAGAGTAAGTTGTTTTTGTCGACTGAATTCACATTCACTATTAAGTTTATGCTAATTCTATTCTCCACACTTAATCAAAATTTAATTCAAATCAATAGCATCCTTGTCACTGGTGCTGGTTCCTCCCTCCCCCACCCCAAGTGTTGCCTTACTAAGGGAGATAATAAAAAAATGGAAACAGACTAGGAGAACACGAACAAGGAAATAAAAGAGAGGAAGCAAAAGAGAGGAAAAAAAGAATACTAATTCTAAAAGTAGTTCTTACGTTGTAGGAAAAAGTTGAGGACAACCCCTGGAAAAAAATGGAAGATAAGCGAACAGAGTGCAGATGGTTGGGCAAATAGAGCTAGAGTAAAAAAGGAAAAAGCACAGTATCACACAATATTAAAAAGCACTGTTCAATATAAATGTATGAATGCAATTACAGACAGAAAATGATCAAAAGAATTTTGAAAATATAGATTTAGACAAGGCTGGTTTTATTAAGGAGATGATTTAAAGCAGATGACTGGAGCATCATGAGTGAAAGTCTTGGGGGGAATCAGTGCAGAATTAAATCAGTGCAGGGTGTAGGGAAGATGGAGAGAAGAAAAGGCAGGCAAGAGAAGAAACTACCTGGGCTTTATATAGATTCTATATATAGGAACATTCTAAATGCAAATAATTTTCTGAGTATTAATAAAATACTTTAGTCCTGATGCAGCAATGGTAGCTTGATAATAGCACAAAAGCCACATAGTTACAGAGCAGAACAGAAATATCCACTTGCAGCTGCTTCTCAATGAAGTGACAAAATTGATTAGAACATATATAGACAAATCATGACAAGCAAATGGTGGAAAGGCTTTAAGGAGAGAAGAAAGAAGAAGATATGGCAAGCAAGACAAGTGTGCAAAAGAAGAAAATACATACACAGTATTGCAGAGGTAAAGTCAGCAAGCGGTTAAGTTAATATAGGCACAGACAACAGGAAGTGAAAAAAAGTGATGGCCTCAGTAAAGACAAGATAAACGTTAGTACCAACTACAAGACCAAATTAAAATATCACGGCAGTCAAGCAGCAGAGGAGGGACAAAATTATGTGAATAGAAAAAAGATAATGAAAAAGAAGAAGGCAAAAGTGGGAAGAATGATACTTATTGGGCTATGAAATGTAACATTTTTAAACTGTGTTGGGACTACGATTCCAGTTGTTCTCAGTTAGCAAAGGGGGGATGGTTTCTAGAAATGTGAGTTGTATTGCAAAGCACACACCCATTGCCTTACTGTTAGCTTCTGGATTGCATCTTTCAAGGGGAAGAGAAGCAGAGATACATGTAAGAGTGCACATAATGCTACTGTTTTTTTTTTTATAATATGGAAAGATTAAGGAAATTGAAAAACAAGGATGGGGAAGGAGATATTGAAAAAAACCTCACTTTGATCCAAGAGTAGGACTTGGAGAATTCCTAATGATTAATCAATATCGGCTTCCCCGGAATTTGTTATTGCTATTTCATAAAAGGTGGTCACTCTTTTGTCTTGTACTGTCCAATCAGGGAAGCCCTTGTCAGAGCTGCTGTGAAAGTGTAAAGGAGGGAGGAAAGGAAGCGGGAGGGGGAGAAAGAAAAAAAGAGAAAATGAGGAAAGGAAGGAAGAGACGGAGGGAGGGAGGATGGATTGTATCTTTCGACTACTTATTATATATCTTGGATTACTGATAGACTGACAGATCCTCAAACCACAAAGAGAAAAAAAGAAACTGAAAACAAGCACAACTCAGAGAAAGAGAAGAAAAAAAAAGAATGCAAAAATATGTGGCAGGCAGGCCCAGCACAGCAATTACAATCCAGACAAGATGGAAATTTCTTTGCCTAGTCGACCCTCTCATTTGTGAGGAATAATGGTCCCTTACTAAACAGAATGTAAAGGAGAAGCAAGTATGGTAATTCATTTTGCTTTGCTCTCTTTTCCCACATTCTGCTCTTTCAAGACTTCTCCAGCTGGCTTACTTCAATACAGGAACAGAATCAGAGACAAGGGAAGAGTTCAGCAGAAAAACATGAAGATAAAATGGCGGATTATTATTATTATTATTTATTTATTTTTGCTCTGCCTTCGTGATAACAAATGCTTCCTTTCTCTCTCTCTTTACATCACAAAGGGTTAGATAAAGTAAAAAGCCTAGCTTTTTGGAGAAGAAAAAAAAGAAGCAACAAGAAGAAAATTGCAGTTAAGAATAGCAAGCGTTCAATGGCCAGCTAAGAGACTAGAGGGGGTAAGATTCAGCCTAAGCAAGAAAAAAGAAGAAAGATCAGTGAGTCAGTCACCAAACATGTCTTGGTAACGTCTTTTTTTTTTTTTTTTGCTGCTGTGTATACCAAATCCCCATTATACTGCCTCCATCTTGTCTCCAGGCTATGAGTGAGATTGGCTTAAATTGTTTTCAGCTGAACTGGACGTAGACGTAGGTCTTTCCCCATTGTTCAGTTGTAATGCTATCCCTCAATCTGTAAAGCAGCAGAAAGTTATATTGGCATAAAACGGGTTCTTCTCCTTGCCTGTCTCTATTCTTCCTGTTGCCTTTCTTCCTGCTCATGCCAGCCCATCTGGCTTTCCTCCAAAATAACAACACGACAGATTTCCCAATTTGATGTTGCACTTGATGGGGCATCTAAAGGGGGGAAACATCCCTGTCTTATTCATGGAGATGAACAAGGGGAAGAGATGAGGGCAAAGTCACAGTTTCAGCAAGCATAATTGCTGTAGAGCAGTTCCATTGAGACATGCATAGCAGCGCCTAAGGTTCTCCTAAATGTATGTGTTTGAGATTTTTGCAGGGAAAAAAAATCCTTAAATACGTTTCCTCCCACTACCTTTTCTTACGTGGAAAACAATACCAGAGCATAAGCATTCAGGCAGGAAATGTCCTATTTTGCAGTCTTTGCATGTCTTCAATTTTACATCTTACATAGACATATTGGATTCCTAACATTAGATTATAAATGCTCAAGTCAACAGGCACTTGATGCCTTGTTTGATCAAAAGCTTTAGAAATGGGACAAGAAGAAGATATTACCAGAGCATGTTGTGTTATGTTTAGGTGCAAGTAGGAACAGTAGGATCTGGCTAATGCATGCAAAATGCCAACCAACCACTGGCATGCATGCATGTCACTGTCAAAAGACTGCAAATAGATGCAAACAAAACAATAATGAGGCTTAAATCATCAAACATATATCTGGATTTCCATCACCATCTTCCTCCACTGGTGAAATTAAAAACCAGTCTGGCATACAGAAAACTAACTGAAATCTAGATAGATCTCATTTGATAGAGCCATAGGTACTTCCCACAGTTTAGAAAGTGCCCAGTGTCACTTTGGGTAGCAAAATTTATAGTATATAAATTTATATTTAGATATTTAGATAGATAGATAGATAGATAGATAGATAGATAGATAGATAGATAGATAGATAGATAGATAGATAAAGATTATGTATGTACGTACACACAAACACACACAAGCATTCTACACTGTGCTTTTGCTAAATAAGAGGAACAAGGGAAGCAAACATGGGATCAAGAAAAGGGGAAGATTCCTGGAAAGAAAGAGAAAAGGCAAGAATGCAGAAGTAAAAAAGAAACTAGGAGAAGCTGAGCAAGAAAGAAGAAGCAGTGAGAGTTCAGGGAGAAGCAAGCTGGATAGCATATAGCAAAGCTAGAAAGAGAGAGAAAAACATGCCACAAGTACATTTCCAGGGTTATTTAAATTTGGTGCAATACAAAATGACTTCTAAACTTCATTTTTAAATACTGATTGTTCCTATGGACTATAGGAAGAACCTGCTCCAAGACGAGAAGCATTTTGGCAAGAAAGGAAGTGTTCAAAGTTCCTTAGCTCTAAAATGGATTGGAGAATGTGTAGCCCTTTGTTCTTGAATTACAACTCCCATTCAACCAGCATCACAAATTATGAATGCTGAGAGTTGCAGGCTTAGCAACAAGGTCCCAAGATGAACAAGAGATAGTCTCATTCTTTCATACAGCAGTTAATATAGTTATAATTAGGTATATTGTAAGATACCAAACCTAAGAATTCACCCAAAAATGCATTCAGAAATGAAGCTGTAGAGAGAAAAGTTAGCTAGCAAGCAAGAAAGCACATGTGAAAAAATAAGCAAAGAAAGCAAAGAGCCAAACCAGAAAGAATCTGCAAGCAATCAAAGAACACACAGAGAGAAGAAACAGTGCAGCTAAACTCCAAGAAGCTGAGGAACAAACCAGAAAGCAACACAGAACCACAGCAGTTTGTTTGGTCTGATCTTCGTTATTACGCAAAGCACATTGTAAACAAAGCTTTGTTGTCCATGTGTTGTGTGAACTGAGCCAATTGTAGTTAGTTAAATAAACAGTGGCTAAGCAAACCATGGTTTAATTTGGTGGGTTAACCTGGGAACTGTGTGAGCCCCTCAGCTGGGGATTATAAGCAATAGATAAAATCCGAGAAAGGGTGGGGGGGGCTGCTGCTGCCAATATGATTTTCTTCTTTATCTCTATTGGTGACAAAACACTACACTATACTAAAATGTGATGGAAGGAGCCAGTCACAGTCACATATATCTTTTCATCCCTTTTAAAATTTTACCTGGGGAGGCTGTGAGCCAAATAGACTAGTAAAAGAGAAGGTTTGAGGAAGAAAACTGTCAAACTGCTGTTCCCATTCAGAAGCTGACTTAATGAAAAATATGTCCTTTTTAAGAGGGGCTTTCATTCTGCAGGAGAAGAAAAATCTCCCTGGTTGCAACAAAAAAAGGAGGGAAAAGTCAGGCCATTTGCTCTCCTCCTTATAGCCAACCACCCATGTCTATTCTGTGCCTTGTCTAATTTAAACCTCAGCTGAAAAAGGAAAAGAAGCAAAAAAAAAAAAGTGACATGAATCTATGCACACAAACAGAAAGCATGAAAGCAAGGAAAGAGACAAAGCTATAGGAAAACAGTAAGAGGAGAAAGAGAGGGAAAAAGTATGATAGTAAATCATTAGAGGAACAAAGCTATGGGGGGGGGGAGCAAAGAATGAGGTGATGTGGCCTCAGAGTGAGCAAAACTTAATGGAAAGCAAAGACATGCAAAGGAATTCACAACTATAACATTAGAGCAGAACCAGATTGCAAAAGGAAATAGGTATCTATCAGTTATTCTCTTGGACAGCTATATCACAACAAAAAAGCATTTCTAAATGCAAGGAGCCCCTTTTTCAAATTATCCACCCAATGCTCATTTATGCAGAAATAAATGTCACAGAGGCCTGTGGCATTTATGTTCCGGTAATGCCTTTGAAACTTTATGAGTCTCATTTGCAAATCTGATCTGCCCATGTAGCAGTGGGAGGGCAGAATCCAGTGGACGGAAGGGGCTACGTGCTCCTGTGCTCATTTCAGCCTGCATATGGGAGGACACCAGGTATCAAGAGCACAGGAGGAAAAAACCTAACACAAAATATTTCTCATTCCTATGGATGTTCAGTTTTCTTTGCAGGGATTAAATTTTTACTTGAAATGCAGCAAATGTCCTGCAGCTATAGCCTAGTCTGTACTAGGATAGCCAGGTATGAAAGAAGGAAGGGCTCCTAAGTTTATAATAAAGGTACCAGTAAGTTAAAACTGCAATAGATTCTTGTCCCAGTCCGTTAACTCAAGATACAAAAGTCCCACTGTTTGGAGCCCAGTTTCTTTAATAGGAGTGACTGTCCTGGAGAATTAATTTTTCAGAAACATGGGCAGGGCTTCCAAGAGAAAGATCAGCCTTTCAACAGCATTGAGATGGAATAGATTCTAGGAAGACAGGAGATTTTAGTTCAGACTGCAATTGTACCAAGGAAAAGTTTTCTTAAACAAGGAGAGACAAAATATTAGTTTAAGGAAAGCATGTTAGAAGGGAAAATAGGTTGTGGAATCAAAAACAATAGCACTTCAGATCACATTTATAGCACTTCAGATCAAAGATACCCTCCACTCGCTTTTTGAGATAGTGAATTGGGTCAAGTAGAAAAAAGCTAACTTTGATTCTTTTAATCTCTCTTTCTCTCTCTGTACGTATGTGTATGTTTGTGTGTGCGTAAGTACACATAATTCTCAATCTGGTTATTGTTGTATTTTTCTTATTTGAGTTGCTGTGAGATACCCAGAGTAGTTGGGAGTTGACCAGAATACGAATTTGATTAATAATTAGGTCATTTCCTCTTATATTTATGCTTACTAAGATTTCAGCCAAAATTGCCCACTAAATTTGTACTATAAACATAATTCATCAGGGGACAATATTCAAAATCTTGGGGTGCTCAAGGCAACACACAGATATAGTAAAAAACAACAACAGCATTTTAACAATGGCTTCATGAGAGACCATTCTAAAAAATGGCAATAGATTCACCCTATTTTATTACATTGGATTTCCTGTCTTCAAAAAAGCAGTGGAAAAGTGTGTATTAGCAGCCAATTCTTTTTAAACAGGGGCAGGCATAAAGCTTTTAGGAAACACTTTTGAGAAATGCATTGCTTCTCACAGGTTACATGTTTATTTTGTTCTGCTATCACCATTGCCTAAACTGTTTTGCAGCTTTAAAAATAAAATTAGCCTTTTCTCTGTTTTCATCCATATTTCCCCAAATTGATGCCTATTTCTGATCTTAGCCTGCCCATTTTAGAAAGCCCCCTGCCAGGCTGCCATCCCCTCTTCAACCTCCCTGGTGGAAATGAAGAGAGCATCATTTTTAATAAGGGAAAGCACAAGGATGCAGCAATAGAAAAAGAGATGGAGGAAAAGAAAGAAGAAGAGGCGAGAGTAACAGAAATTAGCCAGATCAGGATTTTATTACAGTAATGTGGAAACAGCAGAAAGGAAAACAAGCATCTATATAGAGAAGTTTTTTTCCCCTGAGATATTGCACTGTGAACTTGAGAAGCACCGCAACATAAATTCAAAAATACAGTGAAGCAAAACTGCCAGAAACAGAAATAGATTCTGCTTTGGGATCAACAGCCCTTGAGAGAAAATGATGATTAAACATATTCCTTAAAAAAAAGAAAAAAAAAGAAATGCATTTTTAAAAGTCCTTAGGCTTCCGTCCTAAAATAACATCCCTGCGTGTGTATATCTATATCAGCATATGTCAGTAGATGCAAACTTCCCAAACAGTGATTTTCAAGTTTCCGATATTTCTAATCTGTTGATTTTTCCTGTATATCCACAAATAAAGTATTTATTTGTATACCAGCTAAATTATTCATATTTTAATATAAAAATAACAACTCTTCCCCATTCATTGTTCCACATTTCAGAATTGTTAAGAGTATGAGGCACAGTTCATACCAAAATATTTTAGAAATGTCTTTTTAAGTGCACAGATTGCAATGTAAAAGTTAATATCGTTGTCATTTCCAAAAAATGTTGAAAACTTGATGCAATGGTGGATATACAATGTATAATGCATACACTGTACATAGGCATGCTTTTCCATATACCATACAGATGGACTTAACTTCTGCAACAGGGCCTAACTTTACGCAGAAGTATAAACCAGCTGATGGCATGCTGGATACAATGAAGCAATGACAAAATGTTTGAAGCTGACCCTGTTCGCAGTAAGGAAGCCTGTGCCCTTAATATGAATGGAGGATGCATCTTATTGCCAGTATTAAAAGATGTTACTCCCAGCCCAGTCAGTTGAAAATAGGGAAATGGGAGCTGTTTGTTTTTCAACTCAGACATAAAAAAGGGGTTTTGCACAGGAGAGGTATTGAAGAACTATGAAAAAAGCACTGCCTGCTTGTTTAGTAATTGCCTCTTAGAAAAGGATATTTTCTCTTGAGGCAAGTAAAGTTGCGTCATTCCTGCAAACAGAACTGTTTCTTCTACATCCTGGCCATCCCAGACTGGTGGGTGGGTGGGCTGGAGAGAAAGGAGATCTGAAAACGCGTTGACAAATTTTCATAACTGAATAAAAATAGGGAACATTTGTAAGCCAAAAACTTGATTCTCATTTTTACCGAAAGAATCTTGTTTCAGCTCACCCAAAGCAGATTGGAAATACAAAGGACACAGAAAAAAAAAAAAGAGAGAGACAAGTGAGAGCTAGCATGGAGGAGAAAAATATAAAAGAGCAGTCAAAGCACAGGAAAAGGACAGGCAATGAGGAGAGAAAGCAGAGAATTGCAGAAGAATCTAAGTGACATGGCAGCATATGGCCCTCCAGGTGGTCTTTTCCAGATAATTCCCAGCCGATGGCCAGAGATGTCTGGAGCTAGAATCCAATAACCTCAAGAGAGTGGCATATTTTCCACTCTTTCTCCATGTCACCTCTAGAGATCAGCTGGGAAACTACTATCTTGTCTTCTTCCTCAGGAACTGTGGGAAATTTAACACAAGAGAGTTTGGACTGACTATTTTCAGTCATTTCCAATAATAGTTCCCAAGTTTCATGGGAAAACTGGGTTAGTGTAAACTGTGTAAATCTATTGTTTTGACCCCACAGGCTTGGAAATCAATTATTTTACAATGTTTGAATATTTGATCAGGTGAAACGGTAGTGCTCCCATCCTTATCTGAGGCCGTAACAATTATAAGAACCTCAATCAAGATTTTAAAAATGCACCAGATCCAGTACAAAGACTGGAAGCCTCTCTACTTATGGCTGAGAGAATTTTTGGATAGAGTTCAAGACATAAAATGGAGTTCCCAAGCCCCAAAGTTTCCTCAGCACAGTCTAACAACTGAAATAGGATACCTGTGGAGCTCAAGACCCATAACTTAGCTATGATTGTGTGTCTGCCGTTTGATCTGCATTTTGATTTGGTGTGCTGCCCAGCTGCTAGTCTCTACCCAATCAGAAGACATAGAAGAGATGCCCAAATTGTGAATAATGCTAAAAATTCTTATGGGATCAGGGAAAATTCCTGAGCAGTCCCTAGTACCAAGTGTATTGCTGGGTGGGAGATATCCACACCAATGGTCTAATTCTCTCCTTCATACACAGACCCATACACACTCACACAGAGAGAGACAAGGATCTCAGCACGGGGATCCCAACATCCGTGCCATCGACTGACGGACATTTCCTGGTTGCTCAGTCCCAGTGCTTGGTCCTTTCAGTACGGAGTGAAGCGATTGCATCCTCCTCGGTATAAACTGGCCTGCAGGAAAGAGAGGAAGTGAGCAGGAGAAGTGAGAGCTGGCTTTGAAACACAACAGAGAGACCCCCAACGCAATGGAAGCCACGGAATGCTTCAATGTAATTTCCAGGGAAGGACTCTTTTCCACCTGTAACTCAATCACAACCAATAGCACTTGAATTCCAAGGAGGAAGTGGCAAAACCGAATTGATAAAAGAGGATATGGGCCCACAACTACCACTCTCCCTGAGTTGAATAGGTTTAAATAAAAGGAAATATTCCTTTGGGGGGGGGGATTAATACCCTCTCTAATCTCTATTTTACTTTCCTTCTGCCTGTAAATGCCCACTTTTACTGTCATTCATCAATGTAACACATAATTTCAGACCCAATTCAACATGGCTGTCACAGGAGTCAAGGCTGAAAGTTGTACTGACGGCTTTACTTTGTGCATTTCCCTATAAGGGAGATTCGGTTCTAAAAATATTGAAAAGTATATTTTTCCCTAAAGATAATTCAGCAGGCAAATCAAGAACCAAATTTTGAATCTTACTACCTGTGCAATATGGGATATTCTGATGAAACAGAAACATTCTCAACGAGTAAGCGAACACTGCCATCTGCTAGCCATTTTGCAGTAATGCAAACATGTCTCATTTGATACAGGGAGGGTTCTTACTGCCAGAATTTTCACTGCTAAGCAAGGGGGTTTGTTTAGGAGTTGCATCTGATTTTACCCTTTTTTGGAATGATTATTAAACGAGTCACTGCCATTCATAAGTGAACCGCATAATTGAGCCCAAAATTTATGTGGCTAAGTGAAACATTTGTGAAGTGAGTTTGCCCCACTTTATAACTTTTCTTGCCACAGTTGTTAAGTGAATCACTGCATTTGTTAAGTGAATAGCATGGTTGTTAAGTGAATTTGGCTTCCCCGTTGACTTTGCTTGTCAGAAGGTTGCAAAATCTGACCCCCATGACACTGCAATCATAGGGATGCTGCAATGGTCGTTAAGTGTGAAAAACTGCCATAAGTCAGTTTTCTCAATGCTGTGGTAACTTTGAAGGGTCACTAAATGAACTGTTGTAAGTTGAGGACTACCTATATATGCCAGTTGCCAACCTCCTGAACTTTGATAAGGGGTGCTGCAACCGATCATAAATAACATTTTTCAGCACCATTTTAATTTCAAATAGTCTCTAAATTTCTTATTTATTTATTTAATTTATAATGCCACCTATTCGCCCATAGCAACTCGAGGTAGCTTACACAATGTAAAACAATATTTAAAACTAAAAATAAAAAACATTAAAAACTAACAAAAAGAATCAAATAAATTAGTAAGGTACAATAGAACAAAATTTGGGGGGGGGGGAAAGGTCTCTAAACAATTGGTTGTAAACCGAGAACCATCTGTATTAAAATTTTAAAATTTCAAAAATTGCCCCATTTTCCACTCATAAAAACACACACTAAAAGCCTGAGGGAGATGGATAAAGAATCTTGCATCTGTGTGTTTTATATTTCACAGGAAAAAACTATCCATAAGTATAGTTTTATTCAATGAATCTGCACTCTTCAGATCTATGAATTCTAATTGACAACGGTTGCATGACTATGCCTTTGATTAAACAACCTTTTACTGTTAGTTGTCCTTCGCTTTCGCCATTTAAGATTTGGCTACACCAAATGTAATTGATTCAGGAAGCACAGTTCCCTCTCTCGATGTGCAAATGTTTGCTTCTCCAACCAAGGAGGCATGCTGTTCATCTGCTTGGCATTTCTACGCCTAGGGTCTAAAGCAGTAGAGATGTTCTTGGCTTAAAGTAGATTAAGGGTGTCTAATTCAAGGCCCGTGGGCCGAATCCAGCCCACGGGGTACTTTGATGTGGCCTGCGGGGCCACCCTGGAAACAGCAAAGGACCAGCCAGTGGTGCATCTGCCAGCGAAAAAAAGCAGCTTGGGAGGGCCATGTGTTTTCACTGGCAGAGTGCTCAGGCCACCACAGGTGTCCCCGACATGAGTGACATCGAGCTGGCAATGCCTACCCTGGCCACACACACACACACCAGGTCAAACACAACCCTGATGCCCCCATGCAATAGATGATTGGACAGCATAATAATGGATCCTGCCCAGCTATCTTTTCAAGATGTAGCATGCTTGGCCCATTCACGAAGTGACTCACCATGGCACCAACTCCATAGGCAGGGGTTACTGCATGGTGGTAAGGCTCAGCAGTAGTGTAGACCCGTCCATACCTGCATCAGAGAAAACATCAGTGGTCAAAATGGAGGCCTGGGAATTTTAAGCTCAGGGACCAGATATTGCCCAACAGGCTTCCTCACTGGGGTAATCAACTTCTTCTCCTAGGAAAAGAAGGACGTTAAAACGAGGGGAAAAGATTTTATTCATCAATTAGCAGCCTGGCAACTTTGTGAGGTTGCCTGTGGAAAGGACAGTGCTAATAATTCCCATACCCTTTAAAAATCCTTTCCCTTGCAATAGCTTTTAAAACAAAGAACGACTCGGTTAATATTGTTAATTCAAGCATCTACATACCCATCGCTGTATGCTGCTGCTGTGGCTGTGGCTGCTGCAGCTGCTGGTGTCTGGGCCATTCTGTATGCTGCAGGATAACCCTAAAATTCAAACAGCGGCTAAAATAAAAATTATCCCAGCAATCTAAACACATCCTGTCATCCCCCAACTCCTACCACCACCACAGTGCATCAATTTCATGATGAAAAGCAGGGCTTTATCCACATATCTTTTTTTTTTTTGCTGCTCCTGAAACGGCGTGTTAAAGAGTAACTTGAGCAGTCATTCTGCCTATCTAATTTCTGCCTGGAAGAGCTTTTTTTCTTTTCACACAATTTTTTTCCATCTTTACTTATAGTTTCAGTTGTGTAATTCCAATAGCCATCTTGTTGTACAGTTCCAATTTATCACCCTCTAGTGGTAAATAATAGTATTTTGAGTACTTGGCAACCGGCCTGCATTTATGGCTATTTGTAGTGTTCCAGTCATGTGACTGCGATTTACAACTGATTTGGTGGAAACTGGTGTTTATTTCTGGTTTCTGGCAAAAAAATAAACCCCAACTATTGCAGAGAATTAATTTGCTCAACAACTGCGGCATTCACTTAACAACAGCAATATTCACTTATGACCAGTGATTTGCTTAAAGTCATGGTTTGCTTAAGGACATGGCTTGACAACTAGCATGAGTAACAACTATAATTCCAGGCTCAATTACGATCGTAAATCAGGGACTACCTGTAGTTTGGCCTAACCACCTTTCTAGATTTGGGTTATTCAACAGATTAATTAAAATGGGACTGGGTTGCATATGATGCGGCAGAAAGCTCTATTCTCAAAACAAGGGTTCCAAGCATAAAACAAAACCCAGCGTTTCAAGAGTTCTGTTCAATTTTAGATCAAAATTGAAATAAAAACTAGCTGTGTTGGAGAGCTTTGCTTGAGCATTCCAACAATTCTGAATACCTCATCCAGAAAATTGTTCTGTGGTTTGGGACTGGGATGTTGTTGTTGTTGTTGTTGTTTTTTGGGGGGGAATCCAGTAGAGAGATAGGGATCATTCCTGTTGTTGTTGCTATTGGTTTAGATTAAATTTGAGTAATGCGATAGTGAAACAGACCTAGCAAATTGTTGCTTTAAAAAAGAATAAAGCAGTAAGGTGTCTAGAGGGATACACTGTCTGTGCTGTTGCTTTATTTTGCAATAGACAATACAAAGCTACGTGCATCACATATATATTGCTACTCCTGCTAAGATTCTATAAATGTAAAGACTATGACTGCAATGTTGGTTTGGTTGATCTTTTAAGATCTGGTATGAACGTTCCTGCCATTGTAGTCTCTTAATATTTAGCTTCAGAGTGCATTTAAAATGTGAAAGCTGTGGTTGGTTTGAAGTTTGTTGAGCTTTGGTATGTATATCCCATTTCATGATGATTCCTGTCTTTTACTTTGTAACATTGAGTAGACAGAAAAAAGAACCACTAGCAGGAAAAAGAGCACTGAAGAGCACTAAAGTGATTAGCTGTTTTCTTAGTCTTGCAATCTGTTGGATGAATAACCTAGAAAGTTTACAGAGCCCAGTCTCTTCTCCCTGCTGAGAAGGAAGATAACTTGGCCAGTTTTTCTTAATGCGCTTAGCAGGTTGCATGACTCTTCTCAATGTCTACTCAATATCATGAGCGCAAGACACATCAGAATAGGTCATGGCTTCTTTTATACAGAAGGGATACCAACATTTTAACTTTGCACTGAAGCATAAACTAGAAAGTGAAGAATACTCATGATGGCAGCATACACAAAATCCTTTTGGTCTCAGTGCCCTGAAGATCAGGAATCTTATCCCTGCAAAAGGATCATGAGTCCTACTTGCTCCTTTTCTGCTTTGGGACTGTTGGTGCTGGGCAACCATCCTTTCGATTCTAATTTCCAGAAATACCCAGAGGAGGACTTACGTAGATATCAGAACTGTATAGACCATCCGGATACAGCACGCTGGGTGAAAAAAGAAATATCAGTATGCAACAGTAAATATCTTTCCCTTCAATCCCATCCCTTTCAAATACAAGTTATTCGTCTTAAAAAGCTGCTTTTTATTATGTTATATAAAATATGAGGAGCAAACCATGACCTTGGGCACATGCACAGTGCCCTTCCCTGACCATTTAACAACCAGAAAGAACTGTGTATCTGACATGGAAGATCACACCAAGTCTTCATAGCAGTTGAATCCAGTTTTATAACCAAATAATAGCTGAATCAGGCCTTCAAGTGTTGCAGCCAGATAGTCATTGAAAAAAAATGAAGAAAAAAGCAAGAATATATGATGTCTTCACTACACTCCAGTAAATGAGACATAACGTAGAACTGTAGGGCTGGAAAGGATCTTGGAAGTTTTTTAGTCCAGCCCAGAGAAGTCATTTCTGAAAACTTCATTTACTTACATACTGACTTAAGTTTACTAGAGAACAAAATTCCCCAATCCCAACCTCCTCCAGAGATGATTGGACTATAACTTCCTGGCATTCCTTAGTCATCAGACCTAACAATGGTAGAAGGGGAGGGGTGGGTGGTGAAAAGAATTTTTTTAAAACCATTACTTCATTTTGGAACTTCTGGGAATATATTATTACAACCTTGCAGCTAGGTTACTACAGTAGCATTTCTTTTCCTTCCTTTTTTATCATTTCATTTAGTCCAAATATCATCTTTCCATTCTCACAGGCCAAAATTTGCCATTCTGCTGTATATTAAAATATTTCTCCCCAAATATTACTCTCCTTCCCTATCTAACTTGTTTGTTTGCTTGTTTCCTTTCTACTCCCCACCCACCCAATCGTTGTGCCCGATTTAAAAAATGATTTATAAGAGCTTCAAGCAACACAAACACAGCATTTCTTTGCCATTCGGTAAAACCACATCTTTCAAGCTTTTGTATGAGACTGGAAAAAGATGCAGCTGCTTTGAAGGGTGCTTTAGTGGCTCTGAGAAGAAGAGCTGAAATAGGATGGAAGGGAACTCAAATCCAAAATAAAAATGTTCCTTCACTTCAATTTATTTTGCTTGAACTACACTTTTAAGGTGTCTTGTTGTAACCTCTTCAACTTTGATTCTTCCAGATGATATGTTCGGTCCTATCATCCAATATATTGGCTCTACAGGGCTTCTGGTTTATTTATTTGATTTTTATTTATTTGTCAAATTTAGATACCATCCATTTTACTCATAGAGTGATTGGGCAATGGGAAGATGCTTTAAGTAGGCATTATTATAGTGTCCTATAAGCCAAGGGTCTCCAATCTTGGCAACTTTAAGCCTGGTGGACTTCAACTCCCAGAATTCTGCTGGCTGGGGAATTCTGGGAGTTGAAGTCCTCCACGCTTAAAGTTGCCAAGGTTGGAGACCCCTGCTATAAGCCATCATGAGTTCCTCTCTGCCAATGCTCACCTGCCATAGGCTGGAACTGGAGTAGGGGCAGGTGCTGCTCGAATGGGATTATAGATAGTGGCTCGGCCACGCCCTCGCAGAGTTCCACGGTAGGCCAGAGCAGCAGGTGCCATCATGGGATAAGGGATGCTTGCCACTGAATTGGATAAGCAATAAAGCAGAAACAGTGAGAGAAGATGCACATTCCATTACATGAGAGAGGCAGACTTGGAACAGAAGTAGAGCTGAGCAGGACAAAGAAAGGGATTGTTTTCTGCTCCAAAACTTTTACCACTGGAAGGGGCAGAACAGTTTACAAAGGATGATTCTAAGAAAGCAACCAAAATTAAGTGTGCTTAATATTTCAACTTGGGGTGAAATGCTAGCTTAATAATCCTAAAAATTTGAGTGGGATGGTCTCCACTTATAACACACTGGGAAGATATATCTACATCTACATCTGATTTCCAGTAACAGATTGCTGATAGTATGTTTTCTGTCAAAATTTCCATTTTTGTTTTTGTTTTTTTAAATGGGATAATGAGGAAAACTTCTAATATTTGATAAAATTATGGCAACTTTTTTCCTTTAAAAAAAATAATCTCTCTCTGTCTCTCTGTATATAGATAGATAGATAGATAGATAGATAGATAGATAGATAGATAGATAGATAGATAGATAGATAGATAGATAGATAGATGGCTAACATTGTTACTTACATTTTTCTCTTAGATTTAAAAAGTTTCCATGTGGATGTACACACATATATTAATATAGCAATAGCACTTAGACTTTTAAACTGCTTCACAGTGCTTTTTAGCCCTCTCTAAGCAGTTTACAGAGTCAGCATATTGCCCCCAACAATCTGGCTCCTCATTCTACCCACCTCGGAAGGATGGAAGGCTGAGTCAACCTTGAGCCTGGTGGGATTTGAATTGCCAAATTGCAGGCAGCCAGCAGGCAGCAGAAGTAGCCTGCGGTACTGCACTCTAACCACTGCACTACCATGGCTCAATGTTGTTTCCTACAATTTAACACATAACACACTAACCTGTGTACAGATCAGGAGCATAGACAGCGCCAACTACAGGATTGATCTTCCATCCTGTAAACATATCCAAGCAAAGAGAAGATCAGAGGAACAATATGCCTCCTATCTTATTTCTTCTTGCCTTGCCAATCATCCTACACATCTGGCCAATCTCCCAACTCACGAGAACCTGCACAATCTTGACTGGACATACCAAGTTGCATATGTATGTTTTAAAAAGATGGGGACAGCCAGCTGAAGCAATTCTGTCTCGTTAGTTGGAGTACTCCAACCCTGGAAACTATTGCAAATACACCCCAGCAACTGAATGCAAGGGCAGAAATTATGTCTTTGTGGAATCTGCGTGCTTGCGGGTCTTAAAATATTTCCACCCCAAATTGCCCTGTTTATTTATTCATTTATTCTGCTAACTTTATATACAAATTCCTGCTTGTATATAGCTTCTACAGTTGAAAAGTGTAGTAGAGGCATAGAGACGCTTAGGATCCAAATCAACCTTTTTTAGCCTGGGCACCTTCCAGAGACATAGATTTCATCTCCTAGACAGCATTGCCATTGCTAGGAATTCTGGATCTAGAGGCCCAATATTTGGTTGGTGTCAAGGGTAGAGAATATCCTGGCATAAATTTTAGCTTCCCCAATATCAGAGTTTCTAATTAGCAGGGAAAGTTGGGGTAGGGCAAAACAAGACAGTGCTAGATTTTCCTTTCAACAGATGAAGGTCTGCCTCAGACCTTGAGTGTGACATCAAATGTATTTTATCCTCTCAGACTCTGTAGCAGGTTCCAGACAATTGAAGCCTAAGTCTTTCATATAGAACCATTCCTACTATCTGCATAGAGACCTTTTTATACCTTGCCAAGGCTTTTCTGAAGACCAAGCCAATGGCCAGCTCAGCCTGGCCGCAGTACTGTAACAAAATTAACTGGAAGCTATAAGCTAGGTTTGTCCAACACGCTTAACCTACTTACTGAACTAGATCATTTTTTGAGTTTACACATTAATCTTGAACAATGAGACCTTTTGAAGCATCTGGATCCAGCAAAGAGCGATAAAAAACCAAACTGGCTACATTTCCATAACACATTAAGCCACAAGAAACTAATCAAGCTGAACAGGTCTGTACCAGCCCAGTGAAGTACTTTGTGTATGTTTAGCCATAATGCATTGGAACAAATAAAAAAGACACAGAGCATTGTGTCAGTCAGAACTGGCAGCTTTCTTGAGATTAGAGATATATCATCAACATCATCATCCTTCTTGTGCTTAGAGAGTCATGGCCAGTGACATCATAACATCATTGGTTTGGACGGGGCCAAAATTTTCAGTACATTTTTGCAAGGTTTTTGGGCAGTAATAGTGAATGGGTGTGTTAAGCCTGGCAAATGATTAAGGCATGCTTTTGGCTCCTTAACTTCCTCAAATCACAATTAATGATTGGGGAAAGGGAAGGCTGAATGTTTTTTGAGATTAAGCGTCTAAAAAGTTTATGACATCAATTAATTCCTTAAAACCTTAAATATCCCAAATGAAAAAAAAAGGCAGAAAAGCCATACCCATTCCAAAATTGAGGGCTCTGGAGGTTAAAACAGAAACCTGGAGTCTGGGGGAAGACATTGGTGAATCAGTGTCTTGCCTTTGCCCCAAGCACTTACTTGTCCTGCTAAGGGTATCACTCAAAGATGCCATGAAGTCAGAAAAAATGAAAGAGCTGCCTTGAACAAGAGCAGGCTTTGGTTGTCATACTCTAGTGTGAGAACTCTGGACTATTTGTTTTAAAGATGGCATTTAGAAGCAAGCATATTGCATACCATTCACCAGAGGTGCCACTGGGGGTTTCTTGGTGACTAAACGAGCAGTGGCATTGTTGACCTGCATGGGAGGAAAAAAAGGCAGGAAGTCAGACCACTTGTGCAACAATATGTAGTTAATTCTGGAAAGAAAGGCAGGCTACTATTATAATTTGTCCTTGAAGAAGTCTTTGCAAGACTTTGGGTGAATAAATCATGAATAAATCTCTTCAGTATTCCATGCATATGGTATATCCTGCTTCCCTGATTGTTAAGTGTAACATTAAATCTTGAGGGGAATCTTCAGCAAAGTAGGTAAATACCATGTTAAGCAAAAACTGGTAGGCTGATACATGCTTGTATGATACATAGGTTAAACTCTCACCTCAATTTTCCTCCCTTCAACAATACTGCTGTTTAGCTTTTCTCGTGCCCGGTCAGCATCTTGGCTGTTTTCAAAGGTGACAAACCCAAAACCCTAAGAGAACAGGAGATCTGTGTCACTGATTATATTCTACAAATTTAGAGATTCATGAACTTTCATCCTTATGCTAATGGAAGTACCAAGCTATTCCCACACAGAAATTAAGTTCTGTATTTTGACTTTAAACTTCAAGCCAAAATTCACCCTGAAATACTCTGAATCAAGCATTTTGTCTAAAGACACAAGCAAGAATCAGGCATATCCCAATGAAAAATTGTTAGAGCTGCCTTGCCCATTTGTGGGCTCAATAGATGTGTTGGGATTACATTCATGTGGAGACACATATGGAGTACAGCAAAAGAATTGGAAATACTAAGCCAAAGAAATCAAAGGCATGATATTAATTACTCTTCCTCTTTTTTGTGTTCCTGGAATCATCACTTGTTTCCTCCAAGTCTATAAGTTTTTTCATATATTACCTTTTATTTATAGAGCTTCTCACCTATTTCTTGGTGAAGATCTCATCAATTTAGACAACATTACTTTTGGTTTTTCTTTTCCTTCACTTTTCCACCATATTTTTGTTTTGACATCTCTATCTGATCAAACCATCACAACAAAAAGATTTGTATAGGGAGATACTATACCTGATATTCAGGTATTTCAAAAGAAATTTTGCTGTTTACAAAGTCTGCATTTCAGGTTGTCTCCAATCTAAGGTGGATAAAATGTGTCAAGGCAATTTTATTCGACCATCCATTCAATTTATTTCCTTCTCCATTTGTTCAGGGCAACTCTGAACAAACTAGCAAAAGTTTTGGCTGTATTAGTCGCATTCCTAAAATTAAGGCAACCTTGTGATGAGGTTGCATTGCGTGCCAAGCTTGACTGACTCTGCCATCAGCAAATCCCGAACTTCGTTTCTGCTAATAGGACATAGACCATCCGCAGCCTTCCTTTGGAAGCCCTTCTCCATGCAGTACCTTGGAGCCCCGCTCATTAAAGATTATTTCCACGTCGAGGATTTTTCCAAATTGCTGGAAAATAGGAAGAAAATCAATCACTGTCAGAAGCAACATGCAGCCCTGTTCTTACCAAGAAACTAAGTCACAACCATATTTAGGGTCCAAATTATATATCGGTATTTGTTGCTTGTTTATTTGGTTTATTATTCCACCATCAAACCAATGTTCTTTAGTTGAGACTAATTCACAGCCATATATAAAGCCCAAATTATGTCAGAATTTGTTGAAAATATATGCTTGTTGTTTTTTTTACTCTATCCCAAAACCAATGTTCTTTAGATGAGTTGATTTCAAGATCTGATCTTTTTTTTTTCTTAATGGAAGAAACCAACATAAATTAAGGAACCCAACACTGAAGTCAGGTGAATCTCTTCAGGGATGGGGGAGAACTGACTTACTCCAAACATCTGCCGCAGGTCAGGGTCACGGAAGCGGAAGGGAATGTTGGACACATGTAAGCGCTTTGGCTGAGCTTTATTCTCCTCACTTTCTGCATCCTCTGTCTCTGGAGACAGCTCAGGTGCAGGGATTTCTTCAGGTTGCTATGGAAAAGGGCGGAGGGGAAGAAAGCAGGATCACACACATCATTGGGTCAACTTTCACCATATTCACCAAGAAAGGGATCTTCCAAATATTGTAATTTCAGCCATGGATGAGAAAAGTTGGCTGAACTTGTCTGAGAGGAGGCTGAATTCAATTCAAGTTTGATGCAGTCACAAGGGAAGATGCTGAACTTTGTAATGTGGTAACTGCAGTCTATGGAAAGAAACGTAATTTCTATGAGGCAAAAGGAAGACTTATAGAGCAGTAGCTCCATGATAAATGTATTGGCATTTATTTATTTATTTGTTCCACCCATCTCATTTTGATTATATAGAGGATATCATAAAGGTGAGGTTATCTATGGTGGCAGTAGCTCCTTGCCTCCTCTGTAAAACTTGGTAATCATCACCTTACACCATTCTCATGCTGAATCTTAAAAACTGTTTTTAAGCTAAGGACTTATTGAACTAGAACTGTCTTCCTCATATGGAATGACCCTCCCAGGGTTTTAGGAAAGAATCCTTGACATTTTCCCTAATCACACAGCTAAAGCTTTCAGGATCTAATGTCCTAATTCTCTTGGAAGGTATCAATTGGACAGAAGACTGCTTTGAGCAAAGTCAAATTTGTAAGTCCTTCTCTCAGTGTAATGAGGCATTCTTCAATGGACTTACCTCAGACAAAAAATGCTCAATCTTTTTTAAGTTTCCTAGGCTATTGATTGCATTTGGCTTATGATGTCACAGAAGAAAAATCAGAACTGACTCCTAGTTCCTTTTGTTTCCTATTATCTCCATTAATTTTCAAATGGCACAGCATTCACTAAGAAGCTGCAGACAAATGTAAATAATTATATATACATATACATATACATACATATACATACATATACATATACATATATATATATATATTGACCATTCTCTCAAGTAATTAAACAATGAAGAAAAGTAGCCCATCTGAGACAAGATTTCTAGCCTAATTATCTATCAGATGGACCAATATTTTATGTGCATGGATATCTTCATATATGAGGGAGCATTTTATCAAACCTCCAGTTCCTGGAGGTGTAAGTGATCCTAGCCAAGTAGAGGGACACCCTTCCCATAATTAATAATGTCAATGTTTTTTTTCTTAGTTGGGAGGAACTGTATTAAAAGAACAAAGAATTACAAAGTCCACGAGTCTTAAAGATGCTAAATTTGGGGACCACTGTTTTAGGTTCTCAGGCCTATTTTTTGCCCTTTAAAAACCATCCATAGAATTGATAACTTCATGAACGGGGTCATCCTAAGTGTTTCGTCATCTAGTTATATGACTGCAAGTTAATTTTACCTAACAATGGCTTTGAGATCTGAGTTGTTCCTCATGTGTTGCAAATCCCAATTTCAACATAAAATCCATTATTTCCCTTTAAAGGGAATGGTGTTTTCTTCTTTCCAACCTTCACCATCCACACATCAAAAAAAAATTCACAGAGAACATATTTCAATGCACCAGCAAACATTCTGTCTTGGGTTAGCGAACAGGACAGACACATGGCAGCATACAGAAAACCATTAGTGGAGAGAAGCAAGACTGGTTGAAAGGATGTAATTTATGAGAACGTTGTGGAGAAGACCAGAGGGCCAAGTGTCAGAGAACCACCCCAAACCCACATCTCTTTCTTCTCCATGCAGATGGCCCTTCTTATGGCACAATGCAACTTCCACGATGCAGCATTCTGAGAACAGACCAAATGTGCACAGCCTATGTCTTGCAATGTCCAAAGTGCTGAAGGATTGGGGGAAGAAGAGAAGAGCCAGAAGAGCAATTAATCTGGCCAGGGTTGGGGAGGAAGTTGAACTTGTCTTCAAAATTCCTGCCACAGATTAGCCAGGAGAGGGCATGGCCTATAAAGGGCATGCACGATCACCTATGGATGCACCTACCAGAAAAATAACAGGCATGTACAAAAAGGATTTTGTGGGGTAGATACAACTTCAAACACAGATCTAGATAAACACAATTGGCTGGAATCACATCATGCTAAAGGGATAAACTGTTTTTCACATATCATGATAACTACCATTATAGGAGCAAGCAAGTTTCCCTTTGAGCAAAACATAATGCACAAACCAGACCAGTTTATTTAAAGCAGTAGTCATATGATCAGCTAGCAATGGCTACAGCATGAGAGATTAATTGCAAAACAAGGCTAACTGTTTATGAATGGAAAGAGATACTATGCATGTTATGTATATGGTAGAAAGTGCATTGAGAGTTCAAAGCAGAAGGATATCTGAATGCTTACCTATATGCTTGCAATGCCATCTACCCATTTGGAATGAATTAATTTAGCCTCTAGTGTGAAATACTTTCTTTTGAACAGCCAAGTGTAGAGCGTAGAGTACATTTCCATAGAAAAACACTAGCATGTAGCAAAAGATAAAATTAACATTTTCTGTAATATCTAATGTAGGAACTATTTTATAAGGAGCTGAGCATTTAGTTATATGAGCTCTTCCTGCCATCTAAATTGATACAATCCAGAAATAGGATTGCTGCGCTATCATCTGCTGTCTATAAAAACCAGGTCTATTTTAAGTCACTATCTGGAACATATATTATTCAGCTGAACTAATTTAATATGTGTTATGCATTTTTAATTTGCATTTGATTATGCCCTTAGACTGGAAAAATATAGCATCTTACTTCTTGGCATTTTCTAAATTTTCAGACTCTGAAGGCAGACATTTATTTTTCCAAAAACAGAAGGGCTTGATCTGAATCGGAACCTGAAGCATCTTTTATGTTTTGTCTGAAACAGTATATTTAGTGTATAGCAATGTGTTTTATTCAGTACCAAACCATGAATTGCACAGCAGACAAAAGTAATGTTTCCCACCTTTTAAAGATGAAAAGCAGCTGTGAGAGGTAGTAGCTCTGAAGCATGGCAATGAGGTCAGTGTTCTCCAACCTTTTTTTTTTCCCCTGAATTTCCATTCAGAAACAACATGGGTCTTGAACTACTTTCCTTGCCCAGAGACTGGGTGAACTCAAGTTTCCTTACGAACTGGGAGGGAAACAGGCTCAGATCAATATTCCTCTTCTATGATTCTCCCCTTTATTTCTGAGCCCTAATCAGAATGATATCCAATGTACACACCCTCTGTGAACATGCTTAGAGACTAGGGAACTGGACAGTGATTTTGCTTGTCTTAGCACACAACACCTGTAGTGTTACTATTAAAGTACACGGGCACAAAATTCTAGCCACTCCCAAATGCAGACAACCCCTCCAAGCAGTAGCCATCCCCCCTCAGCCCACCAAACCTTCCCCTGTGCCCCCATACCGCTATTCACCCCAAGGGCAATATACCAGCCTAGTTCCCATCATCATAGCCGCCTCCCAGTAGCCAGAAGGATCCCCCAAAGCTACAAAGTCCTGTTTATAAAGACAAGTTCAACAAGGATTAAACTCTTTCCAATGGGGCCCAACATTTTTTTGTTGGGAGGATAAAATGCAAAGGGAGTGGTGGGATGGGGGAGGGAGTTCAAGTGTCAGGCTGAGAAGACAGGCAGGTGCAGTTGCGCAGTGAGTAGGTTAACTATTCATGTATTAATGAGACTAGAGCCAGAGAAATGTGATGGAGTCCAAGATGCCTGGAAGAAAACCTGAGCTCGGCAGGAGGTCCGCACACGTTGCCATTAGCACCTCGGAAAAGGCCCTAGTCCAGGAAAGACACAAGGAGTCATTGCAAGGACAGCTTTGCTACAAGCTAGGAGTAGCTCTCATGTTCCATGAGGTTGAAAAAGAAAAAAGAAAACACAGAGATGAGTTACAACAACACGCTCTATTTGGTCCACCAAGAAAAGTGCATAAAAGGATGTATCAGTAACAAAGCATGTGATATGCTAAAAAAAGGCTATAAAACTCATATACAGGAGAAAAACAGACAGGACTGCTGCTAGTCCAGCCAACACATTCAACATAAATTAAGCATTTACATTAAGCATTCTAGACACAATTGATACTCAAAATGATAGGGGGGGGGGGAGGAATGGACAAAGAGTCATATTTATTATAAGTACACCTTTAACAGAAGGGAAAGCAACTGTGGGCCTTTAAACACTGTGTGTTAAATTTCCAGCACATCACCCAAAACACAGCATGATTCAGCAGTATTTAGGGTGAGGCTGGGGGTCACACAGAGTCTAATCCCAGCAACATCAGCTTTCAGAAGCTAGGAGGTGAAAGTAAAAAGGGGAGTTGCAAGCATATGGCCAAGCAGGATCAAAGCTCATTCTCCCTTGAGATATTTTGGCATTTATTCAGTGAAAGGAAAACAAAATTCAGAAATTGCCTGGATGTACAAGAGCCAGGTGCTGAATTGGCAAGCAGGGTTGCCAACTTTTGAAAAAGTCCCTGCAGTTGTCTTTAAAAACAATGTGAATTATCAGCTTGTGATTATATGGCTATGAAAAAATTGCCCTTTTGATTTCTGTAACTTATGTACTACTGTTAGAAGCATAAGAAAAAGAGAAGTGATTTGAATCCCCCCCCCCCCCATTTCTTCTTGCTTTTCCTCTGGGCAGTTGGCAACCCAATTAGTTTGGATATTAAGCTAGAAGGGCAAAGAGTAAATTGGAGTCTGTGAAAGAGGCTTGCACAGCAAAGAAAGGTTCTCTTAGAAGCTTTGGGCATGTCCGCCAAGGAAACTTGCTTCAGAATCAGTCAAGACTTTTAACTGTCTGAGCAAAATGGTGCTCTCTACCCAGTTGTCAGGATGCAAAACACCTAAAATTTGAAAAGCGATTTGGCATTTGGGATTGAAAAACCCACAACTCTCTCTCTCTGGTCATGAAATAATGACAAAAACCAATATAAATACCAGTATAATTTCCATCTTACTTTAAATACTCCAAATCTCCTCATTTAGCATCAGGGTAATTAATTTATTAAATTTATTTATTAAATTTTTATGCTGCCCATCTCTCTAAAAGATGACTCTGGTAGGTCTTCTTATTCTTGCTTCAGGAGATAGATGCTGGGATGTTTTTGAAAAGGCTCCATTATGTTCATTTATTTATTTATTTTGTCCCCTGGGAGAGGGAAACAAGTGTTGATTGGACTTTTTGTCTTGGACATGAAACAAGTGGCCATCTCTGCTTACAATTCATCAAAGGACATGGTGTCCTTGAAGTGAGGCTGTCAGCTATGTGCCACTTGTCCACGCGGAGATAAACAGCTGCTGGTGAAGATGGTGAAAGATTTGGGGCAGGGGGGAGGTGAAAGAGATAGAGCAGAGAATCTGATATGGGTGCAGCTGTTAGCTGCAGAAAGGCGTTATTACCCAATATGGTCACCATCAAAGCGACTGACTCAATTGCTGGATTACAGATAAGGGAGAAGGATTCTGTGGCCGTATGAGGTGGAAAACTAAGGAGAGATTTCAGAATGCACCCAAATGAGAAATTATTGGATCCTTTGGACCAATAACTTCAAGTTTCTTACTCTGAAGCTTAACACTCAAGGCTTTCGATTTGAAATGTTTCCATTCTACCCGTTTGAAAGATAATTGCCTGATCTTTATAACTCAGGCTGTTCAATTTTTTCCAGGCCAAAAATCATATTTGGCCTTAACGGTCAAATATCCTCCCCCACTCTTAGTAACAAGACTAAGAATTTACTACATTTCTTTTCTAATATTTAATTATGTAATAGCAATAATAATTAGACTTATATACCGCTTAATAGTGCTTTTCAGCCCTCTCAAAGCTGTTTAGAGTTAGCATATTGCCCCCAACAATCTGGGTCCTCATTTTATCCACCTCAGAAGGATGGAAGGCTGAGTCAACCTTGAGCCTGGTGGGATTCAATCTGTCAAATTGCAGTAGGAGTAGCTTGCAGTACTGCACTCTAACCACTGCGTCATCGAGGCTCCCTAGCAATCAATACACTTACTATTCAGTTGTGTCTTTAGTTATTACCTGTTTCTGCTAGTTTCATTTTGATAGTATTTGGTGAGTCCACACACAAGAATTTCTAGCACTGTACATAGCCCTCAATTTTATTTCTCTAACACATGTGTTTAAAAGTACCTTTTTTTTTTCCAGGATAGTATTGGCAATAAAGTAAAAAACTGAACTTGACCAAACATCAATTTGTCCATCAGTGGACATTCCTCTGGTCACAAACAATAAATTAGGCCTACCTCCGGCAATCAGGAAGGGATACTTGTTTTCAAAGCTCTGTTTAAATTAATAAACCCTTAGTACTTTATAAAGAACGATACATTTGTATAGGTATGTTCTGTGTATTATAGCTATCACAAATACTTCACAAGTGCATTAAGTACCATAAAGTTTTGGCAAACAGACTTTGACCCTGCTTGAAAAGCCACTCTTCACTGTTCACTCTTGGCCCAAATAGTTTTCAACAACTATGTGACTTACTGTAATGACAGGGATCTGTGTCTCCATGTCTCCTCTAATGTTTTGGTTTGTGAAAGGCCATATGATCATAGCAGTCTTACTGGGAGGAAACCATCCAGGAGATGTAGTGCTCACAAAACTCAAGATGTACCCCCCAGTCAAAACACTGGAGATTTCTAAGTAATTGGGTTGCCAACTGGCTAGCAGATTGAGGCAGAGGGAGGGAATCTGTTACTCTTCAGGTAGACTATAATGTCCACACTCTGCTAAAATATCTGAAAAGTACTAGGTTGCCTCACTGAGCTTGTCTCTCTAGCAGAGATTTGGAATATATCTGGATTGGTTTGTCCTGCCTATTAATTACAACAAATTATCTAATTGCCCTTAAGGGATCAGCTGTAGTTGCAAAATTTTCAGTACTGTATTCAATATATTTTAAAAAGACATGTGGGATTCAGCTCTGAAAATTGCCAGGAACCAAGTGGTAGGTATGTCATAGAAATGTGAGAGTCCTGCAAGAGCTGCAGGCAAGATTTTATCATGCATCAACATCAAAGTATAATGCTTCTCTAGAGAACAAAAGAGTCTTGCAGCTTATTTACAGAGAACAAATATATTCTGAAAACTGTTGGAAGTAATGCCTCTACTAACATAGTCAGAAAGCAAACTGACTCAACTCATGGTGATGGTGGAACTTCCTGCTGGGATTTAACTGCTCGAGCCATTCCAGGGGGTAAAAAACAGAGTATTGATAGCAAAATGTCTCAGGCAAATTCAGTACCTGTCAGCAAAGTTGATGGAAAAAGACTCTGTCAAGACAGAAAGATCTTACTTCAGGATTAAGCAGATATACATTAGCGGCATTCACACTGCAGCTCCCCAGGTACCAAATTTGATACTTTTCCTCTTCTTTCTAGAACTCTGGTATGAATGAGGTTGGAGCGCAATGAATGTTCCTGTTGGAGTACAGAGAAGCACCCAAACATTCTGCGCTACAAGGTTAGAGGAAACTGGTGCACTATGGAATTGCATATTCTCTTCAACCATGGCTTAGGAGTAATGGAAATGACAAGAGATCTAAAGTATTTAGGTTCCTATGACCATAATTCCATAAACAACAGAAGCATTAGAAAGGAAGTGGTGTAGGGTGGGATGGTGAGCTCTAGATAGCAAGTAGTTGACAAAATCAAAGATGTATTAGCCTTCCTCTGCCTGTATTATTTTAAATAATACCTCCTTCGCAGTCCCAAAGAAACCAACCTTACTTCTGGCCTTAGGCTAGCGATCCCATCAAGTTTCTCTTTGGGAATATTAAAGGAGGGAACTAAACTGCACTAGAACAAAAAAAAACCAGCCTGTCACTGCAAAAAAAAAAAGTTTTTGTCAACTACTAAGTAATTTGCCATTTTGTTAATTACAAGGCAGTCCTGAATGAGAGCAAACAATAACAAGTGAAGCCCTTGCATGTTGCATTGGAAGGGCATAGAGAAACAGTGAATACTGTTGGGTTCAGTTAAAAAAGATGAAACAGAAAGGGCCAGAGTGGATTTTGGAGGAGTAGCTTTTATCAGAGTAGAAAAAAGAACTAAGGATTAACTAAAAGCTTCTTATAGACTTTTGGTGTAAAAGTGGGAAAAAAAGAATTTGTGGCTCATGGTTTTGATGATTAGACAGAATAGATTATAAAAATAATATTGTCATATAACTTGAGAGGTTAAAATATAATTGTACTTCTAACTATGGTGAAGGATATCAGAAGCCACTTTTTTATTCTTTTCATTCTATTTTTCAATTTTTTTTCTTTTCTTGAACTTTTTGCTTTTTCTTGGCCTTTTCCATATTAGCTTTCATCTGTTTAAAAAATGTCAATAAAATACATACAAAAAGAAAAAAGTGAAGGTTTGAGCTATATTAGGAACTGATGGTCAAAGAACTCAGTAAAGTTGTTCCATACATTTTTATACCTTGTGACTTTGCATCTTAAACTTCACAAGCTTGCAGAGAGAGTGAATAAGTACTAGATATTCTACATAAAGGAAATCACCATTTACAGATGCTCAGTAAGAGACATCTTTTTCGAAATTTCTTGAAAGTCCTGACGTGATAAATTTAAGGCCTGAATAATTTATTCTGTTTTAGGTTAGGTTTAGATGGATTGATATACATTTTGTTTTCTAAGGAACTGGGATTAGGATAAGAGAAGAGAAAGTTTGCTTGTATAGAGGGGGAACAGAGGAAGATGGCGGAGAACCAGGAAGAATCTGGGTCCAAGGAAAATGCTCAAGCTTAGCAAATGGGTGTGGCAATGAAGGTGTTAAGGAACAGAGACCCAGGGTTTTTTGCCTACCCTCAGCTAAGAGAGTATAGTGTGTTACTTTGGGGATGTGTGTATATGTGTTCCCTCTCACACACCCCAGGATTGCTGTGGTTTGAAAAGTAGGAGGAAGAAATGTTATGCATGCCACCTTGAGCTCCTGAATGAAAAGATGGGTACAAAACTCAATCCTTGGGAAAAGAGCAATTCCCTAGAACTGGCAGATATGAAAGGAAAAGGAAATGTACATAAAATCATGGGAGTTGGTGATAGAACTTCCTTATTGACTGAAATGTATCTAAATCTAAAGGACAATCTGACCACCTACTATAGGGGTGTCAAACTCATGGCCCGCGGGCCGGATGCATCATATGTTGGCCCCGCCTCCACCCAGTTTAACAAAGGAGGGAAAAGTCCCAATATGTCACGTGACGCAGTGGTGACAACGTGAGTTTGACACCCCTCACCTACTATAACTATACTACTGCAATAAGACTTAGCAACATTTACATGCAACAAAAGCTCACAGATATGTAATGGTTATTCCATATTTTTTTTACAAAATGAAAATTGTCTTTTTTGCTCTAAAGATATATCTTTTGACAATTTTGTTCATCTTCAGTGTTCTATCTTGTCCCCTGTCCCCACCACACCCTGACTCTAGAAATGAGGGTAGCTGCTCGGAGTTGAGTTTTTGCCAAGGCTTTAATTCAGACTTGGAAATCCAAATGTCTGGGGCATCCAGGAAACTACGAGTTCAGCAAAGTCTTGTATGCCAAATCTTGTGTATAGGGAAGCTTTACTTTAATCCACTCTCTAAATGACCCTTACCTTTAAAAAAAAAAACCGGCCATCAAACGTGCCACTATGAATGATGCTATCCCTTTCATGAAGCAGCAGAGAATTTTGATAGCTGGATACTTAATAAATAGATAACAGGAAAATACAAACATCAAGGTTCAAATACAGAGATGCAGGAAGAGGATGTGATGGAAATGAAATGCAGGCCAACTAATACCCTTTATAGCTTGTCTTGTATTCTCTGCCAGAGAGAATGTCAGAACCTGTTCTAGTAGCAGAATGTTCTTGAGGAATACCTAAGAAATGATCACAGTTATTACGCAGGCTTATTGCTTACTTCCCCAACTATCCCAGGTAGCCCTTGCCTTGGCATTTCCTTCATGAGGGCTAGATAACCAACCCTCCACTTACAGCAGGAGGTGGAGGCAATGGTAGCGGATCCGATGCCGTTGTGCCCTGCTCGGGGAAGATGCGCAGGCTATGATCCAGGGCAGTTGGAGATGGGTACTCAGATGGAGTGCTGTGGAGATGGTATTGTGGCGGGAGCCGGGCCTGGGGTGGTGGCGGTGGATACTGGGCTGGAAACGTCTGTGTCATGGCATCAGTAGGTGGTACTGTAGCATCTGGACTACCCTGCAGGAAGTAAAAATCAGAAGAAAATGAAGTTGATCACTGCTACAACCCGTGAGTCAAGAGAAGCAAAGGAATCATTTTCTGAAGCAGACTCTTAAGAATAAAATATAAAATCCCCATATCCACTAAACATCAATTACATTAACAGAGAACCCTAAAAACCATCTCTTCCTTTCAAATATATTTTTGTCTCTCCAGAGATTTCAAGTCCTCTCTAAGGAATATTATAACTATGCTCAAAGACCCTAGAAACTTTAAATTCTTGACTGTGTGTGGGAAACATACCAATACTATTATTATAGGATATAAAATCTTGAAAGCTTGGCTGAGTTTCCCATCATTCCCCTTATATAAAAGAGAATCAAGGCAGAGTTGAGTTTCTTTCTTACTCCTCTTCCTTCCCACTGCTCAATAGTTGTTTACCTAAAAATCTGGAATTCCTTCAAAACCAACTCTGACCTGTCTTACACCGTTTTTTGTAAGCAAAGCAATAAAATTTGTAAACAAAGCAATAATTGAAAAACTGAAGAGATAACAGTATAACAGCCATACATCAAATATAATAGAGAAGTACAGTCTAGAATTCCAATGTCTGAATGTATGTATACCTAGAGAATATATCCAGACAATACACACAAACTACCCTACATCACATTCAAATCCCAACTTGCCTAGAAAAACAGCAAGTGAAATAACTCTCAATAATGAAAAAAAAAGCTAAATTCATTTTAATTCTCATGATATAACAAGTATCTGGTTGTACAACTAGGACGCCTGAGAAATAGATCAGAAGTATCCCTACCGACTCTCCTCTCCCCTTAGTTTTGTAACCCACGCGATCAATTGCTTCCTTTCTAGTCCCTCCCCCACGAGAAGAACCAAGAGTCCCAGCTTCCAAAACCGAGGTGGAGGGCAGAAAATTCGGAAAAGTTTTTAGTATTTCACCCACCTACACCAACAGGCCCCATCCCTTGCCACCTCTGCTGCGAATCGCTGCCACTCGAGGAAGGATGCTTGGGGAAAAACACCCACCCATCAAGGCGTCCCTTCCTCGGCCCATGCCCTACGACTATAAAGGCATCTCTTGTGTCTTTCTCGCAGCCAATGAGCATGAACCTCAGCACGCAGGGCTTCTCGGATTGGCTGCTCTCTTATCAGCTCTCCCGCCCACGCTTCTCTGCTCTTCTTTGGAGCTGCTGTACCGACTCTTTTGTCTTTCAGCTGTTTGAAGAAAAGCGGTGTATGTGTGTGTGTGTGTGTTGGGTGGGGGTGGGGGGGAATGGAAAGATTTTTTTAAAAAACAACAACAATCCAGATCTGATTAAGGCGGGCGCCGACAGCTGCACATTTTTCTTGGAATTTACAATTTGTCCTGCGGTGGCTTAGCACCTGTTCCACCTGTGCAAAGGCAGGCTGGGGATTAATCGGAGCTAGAGTTGGAAAAATGCAAAACTGAGAGATTTTTAGGAGGTGAATTGATGTTTCAAACAATTTTTTTTTCCTAAAGGCATCTTATAAAGGCCAGAGTAGTAAATCCAGTAGTTGCTGGATTTTTTGTTCAGCTGTTCCTACCATAACTGGACTCCAATTACTCCAATTACTCCAATTGAGCAATTAGTCATAAATCATGAGGAGGGTCACCCTAGGATCAGATCCAATTTTAGGATCGTTTTTGTGGTGTTGTGAAGTGAACACTGTAGTCTTTAAGCAAATCCATTGTTCGCTATGGGGTGGCTGCAAACAACCATAAATATGATGAGCACCAAAAAAACCGAAGTCATCTGATTACAGGGTGATAATAATGTCAGAACTTTGAAACTGGATCGTAAATAAGTTTTCAGGGATCCACCATAACTTTGATCGTTAACCATCTGGTCATAAGTTGAGGGCCACCTATATAGAGAACTAGCATGTATATTCATGGCATAGTTACATGAATGATTTTAAGTAGGGCTGCACACTGTAGCATCTTGACCAGTGGTGGCTAACCTTTTTCGGCTCCCGTGCGAAAATTGTGTGCGTGCTTACGCACGTGGTCTCGCATACCAGCACCCAGAAGACAATGCGTGCTGTCCCCTCATGCCCCCTGCATGTGTGACTCCCCCTTGTGTGCCACGTGTCTCTGTACATGTGCACACGTATTCCGCGCACCCCTATCCCCACCACATGCACACCAGATACCCGACAATCAGTTGTCAGGCAGCGGCGCCCGTGCACATGCGCAGTTGGGCTCTTCTGGGTGACCTCTTGCGTGCCATTTCCAGCACATGTGCCATAGGTTCACCAACACGGATCTTTACTATTCCATTTCTTTTCAGTATTATATGATCATTTCATACAGCATCCAGGATTTTAACCAAATGTTGAAGCTGAAGTTCACCTTGTTCAATGCTCCAACAATTTCAAGAGCTCATGTTGGCATGAATACATACAACCACATACAGCCTGAATTTCAAGCTGTGGCTACCAAGTGGATCTTACAAAGACTTATGTTTGAAGAGGACTGATTTAAAAAAGTAATTAATTAAAAATCGCTGTACCATATTGAGGTTGATTTTCCGGAGTCTACTTCTTATAGATTTTGTGTCAAAAATAGAAACGGATTGGGTAGATAGACACAAGAAGATACCAAATGAATATGAAGAAATTAAAAGTCTAGTTGTTTTCTGTGATAGTAAATGTGTCCTAGGTTGACATAAGTGGATGCTAAGAGGAAATGTGTTTCTGTAAGAAAAGTAGATGGCAGGAATAAAGATTTTAATTTTGCACTAATCTTTACAATGTTGATTTGGAGTTAAATTTAACCTTACTATGGTTAATTGACTGAGTTGATTTATCTTATTTTTCTTTTATTTACAAGTTATTAACCTCCACTTCCTCCCCCTAATTTACTTAAGTACATTGTGAGAATAGGACTTATGGGTAATCGTCTTTGTCTCCTTACTTCTTGAAAGAATTATTCCATTTGTGAAATCTCACCTGTTCCCTGAAGACCTAGACTGGGCATCTCTGTGTACAAACACATACGGCTGCACATACGAGTTTACAAAAGTAAGACCAATCAGATTTTATTAAACATATGCAGAAAGAGTTATTATGTGAGCTCAGTCACTGTCTTCAGCAAAGCACAATTGATGTCTTAGCAAGTTGTATGAATATTTATTTATTTATTCATTTAACGGATATACCACTGTAAACTGCACAGATTCCACACAGCATGCAACAATAAAACAGTAGATACAACTTAGACTAATGGAACAGTAGCTCAGATGATACTCATTCATCATCCCCCCCCCAAAATAAAACCTCTCTACAAATAAGTTCCATTTTCACTAGTTTCATAGGTAATTAGGTATTAACTTGGCCTCCAGAATCAAAGATTGGGACCTCCAAGTGAAAACTTGTAATGGGGTCATACAACTTACTGTGATGCATGAATCCAGACATTAAGATTTATAAGTCAAGATTTATGACTTAGCACCATTATGGCACTGCAAACCTAGCCAACTGTCACTAAGTGAACAAATCATAGGTAAACTTTGATTTAAATATTGTATAAGTTCAATCAGTGATTGATATTGCCTGAAAGAAAATGCATTGTTGTTTTGGTACTACCGTGTTTCTCACATAATAAGGCCGGGCCTTATTTTTTTTTGAGCCCCGAAAAAACGGCTAGGCCGTCTTTTCGGGGGGGTGACTTAATTCCCCCCCTTGCATCCTCGCCAACAGCTGCTCCTAACGGGCGATCATGGCCAAGCACAGAGAGCTCCCTACTCCCACCTTTGCTGCCCGCCGCTGTTGCTTTCCCTTCTGCCCATTACGCCGCCACGTTTGGAGCTGCCGCTTCCGTGTTTGGAGTGCCGTCGCCATTTGGAGCTCCAAATGCGGAAGTGGCAGCTCCAAACATGACGGCGGGCGATCTTTTTATTTTGGTCCGCGCGAAGTTCAAAGCGAGCAAGAGAGGGAGACTGCGATGCCTCCATTCGAGATGGCAACCTCACTAGTGGATCACAACGTGGCTGGAAGCCCAAATCGGCGGGATACGATGGCGATCTTTTTGGAGCGAGAGGAAAGGGAGAGAAGAGTTGCGAGGCGTAATTTGCAGGAGGAAGTGGGTGTACCCCACGGCAGGGAGCCCAAGGAAGAAGGGCTGGTAGGCAACGGAGAGCGTCCCGTAGCTCCGGAAGCAGCCTAGAGACGCGCCCGGGAAGAGGCGCAGATGCTGCCTTGTAGTCCCCAAGCCAACTGCGTGCGCCGCCTTTAGTTATGTGCGCTCCGCGCTTTGGGCATCTCCGTGTGATCGCGACCCTGTCCTTTCCACCTGGCGCCCTTGCTGCTTTCTGGCTCTTTAGCAAGGCATCGCGGTCTCCCTCTCATGCTCGCTCTGAACTTCGCGCGAACCAAAATAAAAAGATCGCCCACCGTCATGTTTGGAGCTTCCGCATTTGGAGCTTCCGCCGCCGTTTGGAGCTCCAAACAGCGGCAGTGCTCCAAACACGAAGCCGGTTGCTAAAGAGGCAGAAAGCAGCAAGGGCGCCAGGTGGAAAGGACAAACAATTCTTTTACAGAAATAATTCAATGTTATGCCAGCGTGCCTACCATCCCTGTCTTACTGTCCCCATTTATCTGTATTTACTTCCTTTGTTCTTGTTTATGTTCATACTTATCTTGTACATGTTTGACAAAGAAATAAATAAAATAAATACAAATAAAATATCCAGGTTTTATTCCGCAGTGTTCAAAGTGGGCCAAAAAAGGAAATGGGCGTATAAATATGCACATACAAAATGGGGAGGCTTTCGACCCAGAGTTGATTCAACCATCTTGTTTTGATCTTGCCCCTGCCCTGATTTTATTTTATTTTTTAGAAAAATAGTTGCAAATGAAACAAGATCAGCTGAAAGTTGTTTTAGAGTAGTAAACCGGTATGTTTCTAGTAAATGACTCACATGCCTGCTTAGCGGTCCCTCTTTATAATATCTCTCTTAGAAGTATCCACT